TAGTATTCGTGGGGTTTACAAGCCAACTTACAACTAGTTGGTAAATAGTGTTTCCCATCAAAAAAACAATCATTTACATTCTGGCTGGTGGTTTCAACCCCTCTGAAAAAAATATGAGCTCGTCAGTTGGGAGTATTATTCCCAATATATGGAAAGTCATAAAAGCCATGTTCCAAAGCACCAACCAGAAATAGTCAATCCAATCCATCCTAAGCCATCCTATCAGGTCCATTTATGTGGATGCTTCAGAAATCCGTGGTTCACCAACCAGACATTTATTTACAGTTTATTCCCAGTAATTGTATGGAAAGTCATAAAAGCCATGTTCCAAACATTTCCAAAGCACCAACCAGACATTTACCAACGACTCCAGGATAATTACTAGCAAAGACTTTCCATATAATGTTAGCTCCTGATTAGTAGCTAGGGTCGCTATTGTGGCAATCTTTTTTCAAATTATTCTGAAACTCATGTATTGTTTGGAGGGTTCGCTTTTGTGGCAAAACAAAACTGGGAGAGCCCTTTTTTTGAAAAAAAAACTGTAATTGCTGAGAGGCATTTTTTCTCAAAAACGCTGTAGCTCAGTCAACTTTTTGCTCATCTCTCTATCTGAGCCTGTAAATGCATCTCTATCTGAGTAGGTTTGTTTGCTGGGTTCACTATTGCAGCAAGCTGTGCCAGAGCAGCCCCTGGAAGCCCAGAAGAGAAGCAAGCCTTTTCCAAAATTGACAAATTCAAACTGCAAGCCTTTCCCAAAAGAGCCAATCCCTTATTAAACCCTTATTAAAGAACAGCTTCTCCACAATTTCCCAAGGCCCTGGACCAGGAGAGGCTCCATTTCACTTTAGTAGGTTTGTTTGTTGGGTTCACTATTGCAGCAAGCTGTGCCAGAGCAGCCCCTGGAAGCCCAGAAGAGAAGCAAGCCTTTTCCAAAGGCAATTGCCAAATTCAAACTCCAAGCCTTTCCCAAAGGAGCCAATCCCTTATTAAACCCTTATTAAAGAACAGCTTTTCCACAATTTCCCAAGGCCCTGGACCAGGAGAGGCTCCATTTCACTTTAGTAGGTTTGTTTGCTGGGTTCACTATTGCAGCAAGCTGTGCCAGAGCAGCCCCTGGAAGCCCAGAAGAGAAGCAAGCCTTTTCCAAAGGCAATTGCCAAATTCAAACCCCAAGGCTTTCCCAAAGGAGCCAATCCCTTATTAAACCCTTATTAAAGAACAGCTTTTCCACAATTTTCCCAGGCCCTGGACCAGGAAAGGCTGCATTTCACTTTAGTAGGTTTGTTTGCTGGGTTCACTATTGCAGCAAGCTGTGCCAGAGCAGCCCCTGGAAACCCAGAAGAGAAGCAAACCTTTTCCAAAATTGCCAAATTCAAACCCCAAGCCTTTCCCAAAGGAGCCAATCCCTTATTAAACCCTTATTAAAGAACAGCTTTTCCACAATTTTCCAAGGCCCTGGACCAGGAGAGGCTCCATTTCACTTTAGTAGGTTTGTTTGCTGGGTTCACTATTGCAGCAAGCTCTGCCAGAGCAGCTCCTGGAAGCCCAGAAGAGAAGCAAGCCTTTCCCAAAGGCAATTGCCAAATTCAAACTCCAAGCCTTTCCCAAAGGAGCCAATCCCTTATTAAACCCTTATTAAAGAACATCTTTTCCACAATTTTCCAAGGCCCTGGACCAGGAGAGGCTCCATTTCACTTTAGTAGGTTTGTTTGCTGGGTTCACTATTGCAGCAAGCTGTGCCAGAGCAGCCCCTGGACGTCCAGAAGAGAAGCAAGCCTTTTTTCCAAAGGCAATTGCCAAATTCAAACTCCAAGCCTTTCCCAAAGGAGCCAATCCCTTATTAAACCCTTATTAAAGAACAGCTTTTCCACAATTTCCCAAGGCCGTGGACCAGGAGAGGCTCCATTTCACTTTAGTAGGTTTGTTTGCTGGGTTCACTATTGCAGCAAGCTGTGCCAGAGCAGCCCCTGGAAGCCCAGAAGGGAAGCAAGCCTTTTCCAAAGGCAATTGCCAAATTCAAACTCCAAGCCTTTCCCAAAAGAACCAATCCCTTATTAAACACTTATTAAAGAACAGCTTTTCCACAATTTTCCAAGGTCCTGGACCAGGAGAGGCTCCATTTCACTTTAGTAGGTTTGTTTGCTGGGTTCACTATTGCAGCAAGCTGTGCCAGAGCAGCCCCTGGAAGCCCAGAAGAGAAGCAAGCCTTTTCCAAAATTGCCAAATTCAAAGCCCAAGCCTTTCCCAAAGAAGCCAATCCCTTATTAAACCCTTATTAAAGAACACCTTTTCCACAATTTTCCAAGGCCCTGGACCAACCAGGAGAGGCTCCATTTCCCTTTAGTAGGTTTGTTTGCTGGGTTCACTATTGCAGCAAGCTGTGCCAGAGCAGCTCCTGGAAGCCCAGAAGAGAAGCAAGCCTTTTCCAAAGGCAATTGCCAAATTCAAACTCCAAGCCTTTCCCAAAGGAGCCAATCCCTTATTAAACCCTTATTAAAGAACAGCTTTTCCACAATTTTCCAGGGTCCTGGACCAGGAGAGGCTCCATTTCACTTTAGTAGGTTTGTTTGCTGGGTTCACTATTGCAGCAAGCTGTGCCAGAGCAGCCCCTGGAAGCCCAGAAGGGAAGCAAGCCTTTTCCAAAATTGCCAAATTCAAACCCCAAGCCTTTCCCAAAAGAACCAATCCCTTATTAAACCCTTATTAAAGAACAGCTTTTCCACAAGTTTCCAAGGCCCTGGACCAGGAGAGGCTCCATTTCACTTTAGTAGGTTTGTTTGCTGGGTTCACTATTGCAGCAAGCTGTGCCAGAGCTACAAGTACTACAAGTACTACAAGTACTACAAGTACTACAAGTACTACAAGTACTACAAATACTACAAGTACTACAAGTACTACAAGCACTACAAGTACTACAAGTACTACAAGTACTACAAGTACTACAAGTACTACAAGTACTACAAGTACTACAAGTACTACAAGTACTACAAGTACTACACAAGTACTACAAGTACTACAAGTACTACAAGCACTACTACAAGTACTACAAGTACTACAAGTACTACAAGTACTACAAGTACTACAAGTACTACAAGTACTACAAGTACTACAAGTACTACAAGTACTACAAGTACTACAAGTACTACAAGTACTACAAGTACTACAAGTACTACAAGTACTACAAGTACTACAAGTACTACATGTACTACAAGTACTACAAGTACTACAAGTACTACAAGTACTACAAGTACTACAAGTACTACAAGTACTACAAGTACTACAAGTACTACAAGTACTACAAGTACTACATGTACTACAAGTACTACAAGTACTACATGTACTACAAGTACTACAAGTACTACAAGTACTACAAGTACTACAAGTACTACAAGTACTACAAATACCACAACTTCATCGGCAAAAAAAACAATAGTAATTAGATTTCAATTGTAGCCAATTGAAATCCTTGCTTAATTGAGGATATGTTTTTCTTTTGGGAAGAAAATTTTTGACTTTCTACTTTAAAGAGAGTCCAGATATAGGTTAGGGGGGGGCCACACACTAATCAGGAACCAACATTAATTACTTCAGTGTTTCATAATATAGGTTGACTAAAGCCATGTTCCAAACATTTCCATAATTACTGTTGTCAGTGTTTCATAGCTACCAAAGACTTCCCAACTGCAGGATTTCGCTGAGCCACTCCTCCAAGGTCCTGGCGACAAAATGCCGCGCCGGTCATCATGGTCCCCCGTTGAGGAAACCATAGGGAAAACCCTGGGCAAAATGGTGATTTAATGGAAATTATAGCTGATTTATGATAGCTAAGTGGGGAACAGAACCACAATAACGTTTGGGTTTATAGGAGATATATCGAACTAGGTTATTAATGGATAAACCTAGACCATCAAATTACCAAAACAATTGTTATATAACGTATTACTTCATCATGACAACACCATTTTGATCGGTACAAACGGTCTCGGTCTAGGTATAGTCACATACCAGCACCGGAAGCTGACTATGGAGAAATCTCAACGGAGGCAGACCATTAGCTGCTCATGTTCATCTGGCAAGAAAATCATAGAGTCTCTCTATGTTTATCCGTTTCATTTCAATGGATTTCTCTCTACAGAAAAGAAAACACAGAAATTCATCAGGTTGAACGCCGGCGGTGTGGCTCCTGTGTCCATGCAGCTTTTCGGCCCAGAAACATCTCTCCCTCAGCTCAGCGGACTCGTAGTGTGGATGGCACACGATGCCTGCAGATTTTTGGACGTGTTTGCAGCAAGAGCAAGGCGCAACGTTGATATCTTTTGATACTGTAGATAAATATTTAAATCAAATGGAACACAAAAATCTAATAATAATAATAATAATCATCATCATCATTATATATATACACATACATATGTATATATTACACTGATATCTACAAAGTACACAATGAAGATACAAGAATCAAACATGCACATATGATTTCAACAATTATGAATGTTTGTATATATATATATAACATACATGATATATATATATATATATATATAAATATACATATTATATACGTACGATATGGGTCAAAATCTAGTGGATCCTGCAAAACACTTATCTTTTCAAATTTCTCCCTCTTGCTGGTTAGGGTCTATACTTCACCCAGCTTCCTGTCGGACCATACGCCAGGTATCCTTTTTTAAAACTGTTCGAATGCTGTGGATCTCGTGAAGCTCACGAGTATGGCGGAGGTCTTTGTTGCCATCCAGCCAGAGCTGTAAAGGATAAGACACCAAAGTTACAAGGTCGTGAATATGAAAATATCTACCATAAACATCAAAAAAAGCAGCTATATCTTAGCTCTAGACCAACTCAACAGGGGATTTAGGGCATCCCCTTGCATGATAGTTATCCCATGATTTTCCAGTGCTTCCCCAATAAACCAGCACATGTGTACTACTTTCTGATAGCGACAAGTCCAGGTGTCTCCTCTCTGGCCAGTTCTGTTC